CTTTCCTGTAGCAACATACGGATGTGAGTCCCAGTCCTTAAGAAAGAGAATAGGGGCTTTTGAGTGAAATGCCATAGGAGGATTCTCAGATTATCTTGGACAAAAAAGAGGAGAAATATTGACATCTTGAAAGATCTGAACATCAAGGAAGATTGGCTAATAAACAGCATCCGGTCTCAGAAGCTGGAATATTTTGGTAAAATCAAGCGCTACGACGGATTGGATAAAATTATAGCAGAAGACATGGTACCAGGAAGGAGGGACAGGGGTCAACCAACACGAATATGGGCACAGGATATAAATGACTCCTTGAGTATGAAAGTACATGAGGCGAAAGAGCATGCGAGAGACCGTGTTTCTTTCACGCAGACCGTGATGAGAGCGACGTTCTGGAAAGGACCTGCTACATGATGATGTTTCCTCGTAAATTAGAGACATTTTGAGATCACATGATCTTAATCCTGGCTGCAAACCAGCAGGACCTGCAGGTTCTACACGGTGAGACTAAAGAATCCCAGGGATGGTTTCAGGCCGGATAAAAATGATAGTCTCATGAAACTGTCGTCGTGAGAGGATCAGTGGGAAATAATATACAACAATTACCACCTAGAGTTTCCCAGAGGATCATCCGTTTCAGCGAATGAGGTGGAACGTTGGATCTGTCTCAAGCACCAAGACTTTCCTCAGGGCACTTCAATCATTAGCTACGACCAGCCTGGCAGTGGTTTGGAAGCTCTTCCTGTCACAAGGAACAAGGAATCAGCAGCTAGGGATGGAAACAATCAAAATATAGTCCCTAATGTTTTGCAGAATAAAATGTATTCTCAACTCTCCCCTCTCTCTTCATACTGTCAGAAGTGGGATAATGGTCTAGTAGCCTTGTCATTTACATAGCTTCCACTTCTGACTACTGTCCAGTCGAGATGAATGTCTTCCATCTTCTGTCCTTCAGGATGATAGTGTAATACCGCTCATTTACACAGACTCAGACAGCAATATGCAGTTATAAATGCAACACAAAATCAGACAGAATGCTATAGAATTCTCTCTATAAATATTAAGGATTCTAGATAAAAGGGCTTGCCTTTCCTTCTTTCAGATATTCCACTGTGTGGTTACTTTCTGGTTGTATCCTGCTTTTGTGATGCTAAGAAAAACAGTTTCCCAGTGGGTAGTTTTCTCGGACAGCATGTCCTCAAAATCACAGCATTTAATACTGCTGTGTATAAGTAAAATAATACATGAATAACATCATGAATCAATAACCTGAAAACAAAATTCAGCACTTCTACAACAAGCAAACATGAATTATAGAAGTATGAGCATGAAATGTTACCACTAACTACACAAACCCTGATAACCAGCCATAGATTATTCATCTACCAGCAATAGAAGATAGAGAATTTCCTAAGAGTCTTAGATACAGTAAATAGAAGTAACCTCTTAGATACCGAACAATAAGAATCAGGAATAGATCGTAAAAAAAAAAAATGGTTTCCTGTCCGTGTGCAGAAATGGGTCAGCTTGGTTTTTCCTCTGTCTGGTACAATTCTAATATTGTACGTGAAATGCGGCCCGAAAACTGAAATCACGATTTAATTAACAATTACTGTGCTCACATGGATTTTGATGCAACTATATGGTCATGCTGCTAGGGTTTTGAGGCGGCGGGAAAGACAGAATTAAAGTTCTTCCAAAACGGCCCGCTCTAACTCCTGCTAGCTGACCTGAAGTAAAAATGGCTGGCAATCTGGTCTCACCGCGGGATTTCCGGTGGTGGCCAGGGTTTTTCTACGTTGCCGAATTTGCTAGCCGTATATTCTATACGTGAAAACGCAGGGAAATTACAAATAAGACAATGGAAAATCCCCAAACAGCAGCCGTAGACTATAACCGGGATATCCCACAATGCGTCTATGACGAAAAAGACGTCACTGGGCGCACGTAAGAGGGAAAAATAGAAGGGTCACAAAGGGGTGGTACGCCAGCCAAAAGTATCTTGTCTACTTTAAGCGGCGTCTCGCGACAGCATCCACACTCTACTGATGCAGTATCAAATTCGTTGGGCTGGTCATGTGGCACGCATGCCAGATCACAGGCTCCCCCCCCCCCCCCCAAAAAAAAAAAAAACTCTTTTATGGTGAGCTGCAAAATGGGAAACGTTCCCAAGGCGGGCAAAAGAAACGCTTCAAGGACACCTTGAAGACTTCACTTAAAGCGTTTGGGATGAATGACACCAATAGGGAGGCTGCCTCTCAAGACCGAACTGCATGGCGTGCAGCTCTACACAAGAGCGCGGCTACATGCGAAGCAAACAGAACAGCAAGACTGATTAAGAAATAGATGGACAGAAAGGCGACTGCAGGAGATCTCCTCCTTGGCACAACGCTCATTCCCTGTCCTCACTGTTCAAGACCGTTTCGGGCCCGCATCGGCTTCATCAGTCATCTTCGTACTCATACTTGTTCGGCTCTCTAGCGTAATTGGCTAAACCGGATTGCGCGGTGAGCGGGTGACGAACTCCGTGTGGTCCGGGTTCACTTCCGGGGGTAGGCAGAAAAGCCACATTTCTCCCAGATTTACGGTATTTACAATGGAATTAAGGCCGAAAGGTTGCGATATCCATAATACCGAGCCTAAAGGTTAACAACTCATGGCTTCTAGATTCTAAAACAAACAAACAAATGTACTCATACTTAATGAAAAAGAGTGGTCATCATCATATTGATGGACAACACGCACATTTGCCTGGTGCTCGATGATGTCGATTCTTAAATCAGTAAAATCAGTAAACCAATAAATGGATCGTATTCCGAGAAAATCTGTGTGTTACATTTATTTTGGATGTTTTTTTCTATACGGCCCCCAACCCTATGTCGACAATTCCAAATTTTGCCGAGGGACCAGAAGAGGATTGTCCGCCCTTGGTATAGATTCATATGCTCAGTTCCCTTGTTACATGAAAACGTCCTTCACACTATAACATAAATTATTTTGTTAGCGTGAGTTTAACCAACATTTATTGTTTTTATCTCTTCTTTCTTTCTTATATCAGGTTTGGTGATCTCACAAAGCATCTGTGTAAACGAACTACCAAAAAATTGATTGGACCACACCTTATGTTGACTGGACCTAAACGTATTGGATTTCATCATATACTGATTCGACTTCACCTTACATTGATCGGATTTCACCTTGTATTGATTGGACTTTCCCTTAAATTGATTGGACCAGCTTATATTGGTTGGAATTCAGCTTATATTTATTTGATTTCATCTTATTTTGGTTTGACTTTACCTTATATTGATTTAACTTTATCCTATATTGATATGGCTTCACATATACTGATGGAACTTCACCAATGATGTTTTGTCTTTACCTTATATTGATGTGACTATTCATTTGAATTCATCTTTTACTGAGTTTAGTTCATTTTATACTGATTGGACTTCCCCATTTGTGATTCACCTTATATTGATTTGATTTCACTTATACTGATTTGACTTCACTTTATATTGGTTGAACTTCAAATTATTGATTGGACTTCACCGTATTGTATTGAACTTCGCCTTATATTGATTGAACTTCGCCTAATATTGTTTGGAATAGCTTACTGGACTTCACCTTAAAACAGCTTGTCAACTAGTTAATCACAATGGCTGAATTGGACTACGTTGCCATACTTGATGCATATAAAGGATTGTCAATTTGTTTCATTATTTCCATTACTCTTTCAAATTGCGTTCTCATTTTCAAGACTATTCAAAAGGGTAGATTTATCTACACTCCTAGAAGTCTCATTCTGATATCTTTGGCAATTGGAGACATTTTTTTGGCTCTATTTGGGTTGGTCGTCTTAGCAAGACAATTCTTTGAGGGATTGTTTCGTATCTCTGACTTCGCTTGCAGCACAAAACAAGCCTTTACGTCATATGTATACTTCCTCATACACTTTGTATACGGCGTGGGACTAATAGTGCTGGCACTCGAATTCGTGCAAAGAAACCGAACACCTCAGCCAAACGTAAACGCAACAAGCAGCATTGTCAAATCCATTGTCTACAGCGCATTTCCCTGGATAAGTGGGTTAGTGATCATACTCCCTCTCACTATAGCAAATGCGTATATTTACGGATACAAAAATGGAATCGACGTGTGTGCAATATTTGTTTCACTGTCGAGAGTCAATGCCATGTACGTCGTGTCAGTGATCCTCCCTGCTATCGTGGCTGTTGGGGTGTGCGGTGCGGTTATGTGTGTCAAATTATCTCCAACGTCCTACTCCTCAAATCCAGCGGTGGTCACTTACCAAATGCCTCCACAAGCTGTGGTGGCAACCTCCCACCCCACCACCAACGTCGGCAATGCTGCAGGACCACCTCAGTATCCAGGAGGTCTCCAGACGTATCCTATCAACAGCACTCAAGGCCAACAAATGCATTCCGTCAATGGTGTATCCGGAACATCCCAAACCCAAGTAGCAATAAGTAATGACAAACCTGGCAACAATAACAACCAGCAGATTTTTACGACACCCAACGTACAATACCCAGCGCAACAGTACCCAATGCAGCAGTACCCAGTACAGCAATACCCAGGGCAACAATACCCAATACAACAGTACCCAGTACAGCAGCAGTACCCAACACCACAATACGCAGTGCAGTATCCACCACCACCACAGTTCCCCGTACAACAACAGTACACTGCATACACAGCACAGCCTAACGTAGTCTTCGCATCACCAGCCCAGATAGTTCACCAGCAGAAACACAACAGTTCCTCTTGATCCAGCCAAAGAAAGGAAAATCTTTCTCATAATTGCACTTATTTATTTTATCTGTGTTGTCCCATATACCTCCTTCGAAATTGGAATTCAATCGGCTACCACATTTACACAAGGTCAATTTGATTCCTACGCGGTTGCCGAACTTTGTTTGTTCTGGCTTTCAGTCAGCAGATCTTTAATAACACCAATAATTTTTATTATCGCTAAGTGAAAATAGCAAACATAAATCACTATCTTGTATACATAAACTAACATATATGCTATATATTCTTCTTACAGACATCGCCGTTAGGAGTTTAAAATCATGTCCTTGTACAGACTTCTGTCTCCTGTACCTTCAGCCATTTCTGACACCGATGATTTTCCATATCGCGATGTCTAAATAGTATCTTCTCTCTCTGTCTCCTGTACCTTCAGTCATTTCTGACACCGATGATCTTCCATATCGCGATGTCTATATAGTATCTTCTCTCTCTGTCTCCTGTACCTTCAGTCATTTCTGACACCGATGATCTTCCATATCGCGATGTCTATATAGTATCTTCTCTCTCTGTCTCCTGTACCTTCAGTCATTTCTGACACCGATGATCTTCCATATCGTGATGTTAAACTATCCAGTATCTTCTCTCTCGGTCTCCTGGTACCTCTTTTCCCTTTGCACATTTCCCACTGTCACAATGTATTCCGGTTTTCTTCTCATGATGTGACGAAAGAATTAGATTTTCTCCTTCTGATATATCAGAAAACATAAAAATCTGTTGCATACAACGTTTGCAATAAAAGTATACATCAAAGGAATAAATATTCAGAAGATGTAAGGGACAAGAAACATACAGTCATATTTTCTATTTAATAAGCATGTAACAAAACCATTAATACACACAGAAATATACTACACAGTTAACAAAAAAAAAAAGGGGAGGGGGGGGGGGCGGGGATTGGGCGAAGGACAAAACTTGAAATCTTATAGACAGATTAAAGGTACATATCCTATTTGTTAATTCATTCAACAGGTAAATCAGCCAGCGAGCCAGTGCACTTATATACAAAGCGACTCAGTTACTAGGAAATTCCCACCTATTTTATTTTTGTCAATTCAGAGCGCCTGAGAAGCTGTACAACATTTTTGGTTAAACACGGTTTTAAAAAAATCGTCTCGATAAAACCTATCTCAGGCAGTGGTTCTTAACCTCCCTCATCCGCAACCCTTCAATACAGTTCCTCGTGTTGTGGCGACCCTTCAATACAGTTCCTCGTGTTGTGGCGACCCTTCAATACAGTTCCTTGTGTTGTGGCGACCCTTTAAAACAGTTCCTCGTGTTGTGGCGACCCTTTAATGCAGTTCCTCGTGTTGTAGCGACCCTTCAATACAGTTCCTCGTGTTGTGGCGACCCTTCAATACAGTTCCTTGTGTTGTGGCGACCCTTTAAAACAGTTCCTCGTGTTGTGGCGACCCTTTAATGCAGTTCCTCGTGTTGTAGCGACCCTTCAATACAGTTCCTCGTGTTGTGGCGACCCTTTAATGCAGTTCCTCGTGTTGTAGCGACCCTTCAATACAGTTCCTCGTGTTGTAGCGACCCTTCAATACAGTTCCTCGTGTTGTGGCGACCCTTCAATACAGTTTCTCGTGTTGTAGCGACCCTTCAATACAGTTCCTCGTGTTGTAGCGACCCTTCAATACAGTTCCTCGTGTTGTAGCGACCCTTCAATACAGTTCCTCGTGTTGTAGCGACCCTTCAATACAGTTCCTCGTGTTGTGGCGACCCTTTAATGCAGTTCCTCGTGTTGTAGCGACCCTTCAATACAGTTCCTCGTGTTGTGGCGACCCTTTAATGCAGTTCCTCGTGTTGTAGCGACCCTTCAATACAGTTCCTCGTGTTGTGGCGACCCTTTAATGCAGTTCCTCGTGTTGTAGCGACCCTTCAATACAGTTCCTCGTGTTGTGGCGACCCTTTAATGCAGTTCCTCGTGTTGTAGCGACCCTTCAATACAGTTCCTCGTGTTGTAGCGACCCTTCAATACAGTTCCTCGTGTTGTGGCGACCCTTCAATACAGTTCCTCGTGTTGTGGCGACCCTTTAAAACAGTTCCTCGTGTTGTGGCGACCCTTTAATGCAGTTCCTCGTGTTGTAGCGACCCTTCAATACAGTTCCTCGTGTTGTGGCGACCCTTCAATACAGTTCCTTGTGTTGTGGCGACCCTTTAAAACAGTTCCTCGTGTTGTGGCGACCCTTTAAATGCAGTTCCTCGTGTTGTAGCGACCCTTCAATACAGTTCCTCGTGTTGTGGCGACCCTTTAATGCAGTTCCTCGTGTTGTAGCGACCCTTCAATATACAGTTCCCCTTCAATACAGTGTTGTAGCGACCCTTCAATACAGTTCCTCGTGTTGTGGCGACCCTTCAATACAGTTCCTCGTGTTGTAGCGACCCTTCAATACAGTTCCTCGTGTTGTAGCGACCCTTCAATACAGTTCCTCGTGTTGTAGCGACCCTTCAATACAGTTCCTCGTGTTGTAGCGACCCTTCAATACAGTTCCTCGTGTTGTAGCGACCCTTCAATACAGTTCCTCGTGTTGTGGCGACCCTTTAATGCAGTTCCTCGTGTTGTAGCGACCCTTCAATACAGTTCCTCGTGTTGTGGCGACCCTTTAATGCAGTTCCTCGTGTTGTAGCGACCCTTCAATACAGTTCCTCGTGTTGTGGCGACCCTTTAATGCAGTTCCTCGTGTTGTAGCGACCCTTCAATACAGTTCCTCGTGTTGTAGCGACCCTTCAATACAGTTCCTCGTGTTGTGGCGACCCTTCAATACAGTTCCTCGTGTTGTAGCGACCCTTCAATACAGTTCCTCGTGTTGTAGCGACCCTTCAATACAGTTCCTCGTGTTGTAGCGACCCTTCAATACAGTTCCTCGTGTTGTAGCGACCCTTCAATACAGTTCCTCGTGTTGTAGCGACCCTTCAATACAGTTCCTCGTGTTGTAGCGACCCTTCAATACAGTTCCTCGTGTTGTAGCGACCCTTCAATACAGTTCCTCGTGTTGTGGCGACCCTTCAATACAGTTCCTCGTGTTGTAGCGACCCTTCAATACAGTTCCTCGTGTTGTAGCGACCCTTCAATACAGTTCCTCGTGTTGTGGCGACCCTTTAATACAGTTCCTCGTGTTGTGGCGACCCTTTAAAACAGTTCCTCGTGTTGTGGCGACCCTTTAATGCAGTTCCTCGTGTTGTAGCGACCCTTCAATACAGTTCCTCGTGTTGTGGCGACCCTTCAATACAGTTCCTTGTGTTGTGGCGACCCTTTAAAACAGTTCCTCGTGTTGTGGCGACCCTTTAATGCAGTTCCTCGTGTTGTAGCGACCCTTCAATACAGTTCCTCGTGTTGTGGCGACCCTTTAATGCAGTTCCTCGTGTTGTAGCGACCCTTCAATACAGTTCCTCGTGTTGTAGCGACCCTTCAATACAGTTCCTCGTGTTGTGGCGACCCTTCAATACAGTTCCTCGTGTTGTAGCGACCCTTCAATACAGTTCCTCGTGTTGTAGCGACCCTTTCAATACAGTTCCTCGTGTTGTAGCGACCCTTCAATACAGTTCCTCGTGTTGTAGCGACCCTTCAATACAGTTCCTCGTGTTGTGGCGACCCTTTATGCAGTTCCTCGTGTTGTAGCGACCCTTCAATACAGTTCCTCGTGTTGTGGCGACCCTTTAATGCAGTTCCTCGTGTTGTAGCGACCCTTCAATACAGTTCCTCGTGTTGTGGCGACCCTTTAATGCAGTTCCTCGTGTTGTAGCGACCCTTCAATACAGTTCCTCGTGTTGTGGCGACCCTTTAATGCAGTTCCTCGTGTTGTAGCGACCCTTCAATACAGTTCCCTCGTGTTGTAGCGACCCTTCAATACAGTTCCTCGTGTTGTGGCGACCCTTCAATACAGTTTCCTCGTGTTGTAGCGACCCTTCAATACAGTTCCTCGTGTTGTAGCGACCTTTCAATACAGTTCCTCGTGTTGTAGCGACCCTTCAATACAGTTCCTCGTGTTGTAGCGACCCTTCAATACAGTTCCTCGTGTTGTAGCGACCCTTCAATACAGTTCCTCGTGTTGTAGCGACCCTTCAATACAGTTCCTCGTGTTGTAGCGACCCTTCAATACAGTTCCTCGTGTTGTGGCGACCCTTCAATACAGTTCCTCGTGTTGTAGCGACCCTTCAATACAGTTCCTCGTGTTGTAGCGACCCTTCAATACAGTTCCTCGTGTTGTGGCGACCCTTTAATACAGTTCCTCGTGTTGTGGCGACCCTTCAATACAGTTCCTCGTGTTGTGGCGACCCTTCAATACAGTTCCTCGTGTTGTGGCGACCCTTTAATACAGTTCCTCGTGTTGTGGCGACCCCCAACCATACAATTATTTTCGTTGCTACTTCATAGTTTCAGTTCATTTGTGTTTTCCTATAGTGTTTGAGGACCCCTGTGAAAGGTTTGTTTGACCCAAAAACAGATCGCGCCCCACAGGTTAACAACCCCTGATCTAAGGGGATGTGTCATATTGAGCATTCGTGAAGGAAATGTCTCATTTGAAATGAATACATATCTGAGTCACTGAAATAACAGGATGCCAACAATCGCACCCTGTACACATCTGGGGCGTTACAATTATTGATTTATAGAAACAGTGTTTACCTTCATTCTGAACAGTATAAACAGTACAAGGTAACATCATATGAAAAAAATCAAACTGAATATCATTAAAATGTAAATCTCTAGTAATGTATGTTGAAATGTCATCTTGAAAATGATATGTGTGTATGTATGTGTGAGTGTTTGAAAGGGTAACATCATAGCAACAAATTGACATTAAAATTATTGTCACTAATAATGTCTATTATTTGTCGAAATGGCAGATTGGAAATCATATTTATTTTTGCATGCATGCATACATACATACATACATACATACATACATACATACATACATACATACATACATACATACATACATACATACATACATACATACATACACACATACATACATACATACATACATACATACATACATACATACATACATACATACATACATACATACATACATACATACATACATACATACATACATACATACATACATACATACATACATACATACATACATACATACATACATACATACATACATACATACATACATACATACATACATGACATACATACATACAT